TTTGGTAAAATTCTGCTGTGAATCCATCTGGTCCTGGTCTTTTCTTTGTTGGGAGCCTTCTCATTAAAGCCCTAAAAGTTTGAATAACCCTAATTCACATATCATTTCCCAAATGCATTGGACCCTAAAACTCTTTTTCCTTCATAAAATTTATTAATAATTTACAGAATGAATGTCTACAGGATATGCCTTAGCAAGCACTGATGTATTGACACAGCCTGGGGTTGTATTACATTTCTTAGTGTCAAGATTACCCTACGATGAACCCTGAGCCCTATGGGTTACCCTACTGACCAGAGCCCTATGTTTTCCACACATACTGCTTGTCTGTCCTCTCTTGAACTTAGAAACAATCAAATCTTGTACTTAAGTGTACTATGTTGTCCCTGTACTCACCTTGTTTGGTTTAGCTCCATATTATTTCCTGATGAGATACTATTATCCTCTGAAGATATTTATAGTTCATCCCAACCTCTATGATAGCTTTTTGAATGTTTGGACAGCATTCTAAGTAACTTATTTTAGTCTGCTTTTTACTAGGCCAAGCATCCTAAATTCTTCTACTTCTCTCATCATTTGTATGGGGCCTGATGTTTAGAATTTAAATGCCCCTCTCTGAGCACTGTAGAGTTAGATAACTTTTGTATTCATTGTTAACTCTGCAAAAGAGCCTTGACTGTCTTCATAAGTTTGTCTGAGCTAGCACATTACAGTCAACACTCAGTCTTTGAAAGGCAGGTCCTTATGTGCATCTGTGTACTGAGGGCACATTCTTTTGATCATAGACCACAATATGATTAATACTGCTCTTATCCTTCCCCAATATTTGAAATGCCAGCCTGAAGAACCCTTGAATGCACAAAATCTTGGTACTGGTATCAAGAAAAAATTGCCAAATTTCTACCAAAGAAACAATACAATCCTGTTTCCATCATTAAAAACTTAAAGTTCTCTGATTCCTGGCCCTATGTGAGACAGTGTCACTATTGAGGAATCTTTGGTTCATTGTGTTCATTGGTTTTCTCACTCCCTTCTACACAGCATGGCTCTGATCATAAAATCAGAGACTCGTTTTGTTCATCAAAGCATCTTTGCAGGCCTTTTCAAAACTGCACTTAAGTATCTCCTCTGCTACATCATTAGTGTAAATTGACTGCCATCAGAACTGATTCCCACTTTGTTAGTCCATTCTCAAACCAGGTGAATACATCCCCACATCACTTTCCCATGTGTTTTCCTAAAGTAGCAAGAAAAACCCTCCTGCACTGCATGATCCAAATGTCTGAGCAGTTATTGTTACTACCTGGCAAAGCCAGAATAGTTTACGGGTTTTCTGTGGCCCGAAACCACCTTCAAAATATAATAACTATTTGATATTTAACTCTTTCCAGTTCTTTCTTCTTATACCCAGACAGTAGTCCTGATTTCTCTATAAAAGTTATCATCATCTTTACTTCCCCTACATTAGATTTGGTGAATCTTGTCCCATGGGCTTGTAAAGCTAATCCTCCTGTGATTTACACCCTGGGCAATGTCCCTGCTGGTGAACAGAATACTGGTTACCTCTTTCTCAGGTAGGTCATCCAGTCTGAACTTCAGGAGAAAAGAATGGCAGGTGGGGACAACTGCTTGTGCTGGTGTAACTTCCTACTTGTGTCTTAGAAAGCCTATTCTTTCTTGGGCTTACCTCCTCTGCAACCTTTTTTCACTACCTCAGGGCTCAGGTATTTGGATGTTGACAAGTAAGTAGTACATCTTTGTCTCCTCTAGCATGAAAATTAGTTGCCTCTTCAATACTTAGAGCATAAATAGGTTGTGAACACATATAGAGTCCATATCCTTTAAATTAATTGAGTTATACTACATATCTATTAAGCATGGTAGCATTTGTCCTGTGAGTGAGATTTTGACACACATTAAACCCAAATTTTTATGAAAGTTTTATAAATAGGAAATTTTACTGTAAATGCTTTAAGATTACCAATGTCCCCATAAATGAACTAGTCACCTAAGGATGGCTAGTAGCACAGTCTTCAGAAACCATGTCCTCTGAACTGAACCTATTACTTTGGGGCTGGAAACCCCCAGCAATCTCACAATTGTGTGCAATCTCATGGAGAACAGGAAAGGATGTTTTATGACACTGCTGAGGATTGGGAGCAAGATCTGTTGGAATGGATGTGGGAAAAGTGAGGCCATTGGGCCCTGACCCCTTTCATCCAATACTGGTGGAAGAGCCCCTTCTTAGGGAAATCTACCCATGTGTCCCCATCCACTCCTGTGCTCATAGATGGACCCTGACAGTGCTTGCAACGAGGCCACCTCCCACCTTCCAATTCCCATCCTCAGCCCACAAGGAGTAACAAACATCCTCAGTGACTGCATGGAGCTGGTCAATGAAGGTTAAACCTCCACTTTATAAGGGCTTCACAAAAGGGAGGGCGCTTTGGAAGTAGCACCAATACTTCATTTTCAGGGAGAGTACAGAGGGAAAAAGCTAATCATGTGTCTCCACTTTGTGTAGAACTAGAATTGGGAGTCAGTAAAGGGGTCCTTGTTCCTATATCTCGTCAACAGAATATTGAAGAGACCTTGGAGCAGACCCGAAGCCTGAACATGTACTGCCACTTTGCAAATGGCATAGGTGAGCCCAAGTACATGCCTGTACAATCATGGGAACTTTTGACCCAGACCCTGGTGGAAGCCTTGGAGAACCACAACGAAGTCAACCCAGTGATGGACCTGGTTCTCTTTGAGGATGCCATACGCCATGTGTAAGTGTGCTTCTCTTCTCGCCTTTCCTGTCTTCCTCTTCTTACTGTCAGGGGTCTCGTTTGGCTGTTTGAGCACACATTCATGAAGCCAGGGAAGCAGCTACTGCCCCTGCCATGAATGTCAAGACGGCTGCTGATGGAGCAGCAGCTGCAGCTTCTGCCACCGGCCCTAAGGGGCAGCACAGTGCTGAGCACGGGCAGAACTGGATTTGCTTCCATGTCTGCCCTTTACTATCCGTGGGCATGATCACGGTGACACCAGGGGAAGATTTGAGATCACAAAAGAGGCACCAGAACAGCTCAGGACCCCCATCCCTAGGCCCTACTCGTCCAAGGGCCAATTTTTAAAAACTGAGACACAGAGGTTTTGTTCAAGTGCACAGATATTTTTTTAATTAAATATCTTTTTGAGTGTTGTTGCTATCGATGAATCATTGAGTGTAATCACCAAGCCCCCCAGGTAATTTACACTTGAACCAATGCTGTCCCTCGACCTCACTTTATATTCCTCACTCAAAATCCCATTTACCATCCCAACCCACCTTCCACCCTGCCAACTGCAAAATCTGCTTCATCTCCAACTTCTCTGAATTTTCTCATCACTGTTGAATTCTAACTGAAACCTGACTGATCCCTGAGGTGTGGAAAGCTGTTTTTCTCCCCCATCCTATGTACCCCAGGGCCCAAGAGGGGTGAGTGTCCTCCTTAACCACCACCCCCACCTCAATGTCACATTTAAGTCATTTCTCCTTTAGTCCTTTACAAACCCCAGTTCTTTTTTTTTGGCCTTTTTTTGTGACTGGTAAGGGGATCGTAACCCTTGGCTTGGTGTTACCCACACCGCGCTCAGCCAGTGAGCTCACCGGCCATCCCTATATAGGATCTGAACCCGCAGCGGGAGCGCTGCTGCATTCCCAGCGCCGCACTCTCCTGTGAGTGTCCTCCTTAACCACCACCCCCACCTCAATGTCACATTTAAGTCATTTCTCCTTTAGTCCTTTACAAACCCCAGTTCTTTTTTTTTGGCCTTTTTTTGTGACTGGTAAGGGGATCGTAACCCTTGGCTTGGTGTTACCCACACCGCGCTCAGCCAGTGAGCTCACCGGCCATCCCTATATAGGATCCGAATCCGCAGCGGGAGCGCCGCTGCATTCCCAGCACCGCACTCTCCCGAGTGAGCCACAGGGCCGGCCCAACCCCAGTTCTTTTGAAGCACAAGTAATCCGACTTTCA